CTGTATGTTCACAATAAATTAGTAATACTGCACGCTACATTTACAATTAAAAGATAAATCAGAATGTCTAATGTTGAAACTGTAATAAAAGCAGATTGTTAACAGTATGTTTATTGTTAATGCAGTAACCACAGATTTATCAATATGATCAAATCTTTATTTACTAATAACAATAAAGAACTTTATTGAAACTTGAGATGTATAATTTTTGGTTGCTAGTTCCGCTTAAAAAACAAAAAGCGGAATCTGGTTTGTTCTTTCTCACGATCGCTTGATATTGTTTGTCGCTTTTTGTTATATTTTGGCCTTGTTTTCGGTCCTGGTCGATTATGATGAATATTTGAAAATATGAAAATAAGTGAACAACAGATTAAACATTATCAAGCAAAACATAAACACATAATAACAAGTGACTGAATTGAGGTTATTTGTTCACGTGGTCGGAAATGAAGAACGAGGAGGATTGGGTTTACTTTCAATGTCCGGGTTGCTTATTTCCTGACGGAAATCTGGCAACTTCGGTCATTCTAAACTATGACCAGTGTACAATATGCACGGGAAAAAAGTCACACATATTTATTTTATTTGTTGTTCAGCACAATCCTACATTATGAGCTATCTGTGTTGTACCCACAGTTCCAATCAAAACCAGATTTTTACCGTTATAAGCCTAAGAATTACCGTTGGACCACCAGGGACGTCATACATATTGTTGCGTCAGCAGAGGTCACGTGACTAGTATCACACCATGTCGTTCTCGAACATTCACTTCCTTTCCTTAAATCTCTGGATCCTTCTAGATATAGTGTAGTCTTGTATATATATAAGACGGCCACAAATTGACGGCAACATTGTGTGTGTAATTGAACGGAGTATTGTTGAGTCGAGCACGTGAGACGATCGTTGAGAATTATAGCGTTTGTTATAGCGCGACTGTTAAAATTAAGTGTATCGTAAAGTTGTATTCGGAAATAATAAATCAGTTTTATTTAAGAAAGGACTTCTGTCGCTAAAGTTTTGTCGGAACGAATTTACGGAAAATTAACTAACGAACGGAGACGTAACAATATAATTTTTGTTTTCGTATTTAGGCCTTTAGCAAAAATCCGAAAGTTGTCATACTTTACCCTACAATAAAACATACATTCAGTTGTTGTTGTTGTGTGTGTGTTTTCTTCTTCAGTAATGATAATAATAAAATCTTACCAATGATTTTCACATTAGCACTTGTATGAGAAGATCCCAGATGGTTGGTTGCTCTCACGGTGTACTCCCCGGTATCTTCCGGGTACACTGTCAAGATGTCCAGGGCAACAAAACCAAATTCATAGCGTGTATGGAATCGACTACCTGTCGGTACCACAGAAAGAAAACAATACACACACATATCATGTACTGGAGAAAACAATTACTGCATAAGAACTTTAAATGTATAAGGGGAAAAACATACATTAAAAACTGTTATATTACTTTTCTATGACAACGGATAACTTATTAACTTGGGTATAGATACTGTAAACGGTTAAAATAACCTTATTTTAAACAACTTGTATTGGTTATAAAAGTAGCAGGAAAGTTAACTCACATTTCCCCAACATTATTTATCAATAAAAAGAAGTAACGTGTATTTTAATTATTTCAGAAAATCACATATTACAAAAGAGAAATTAATACTATACTTAACATAAAGAAACGGTCATTAAATATTACAGTCACGATGGTTAGAAACCGAAACTATACCTGATTTTAGAGGTTTTCCATTAAAGAACCATTCAACTTTCATAGTAGTGTCATTGGCGGGTTCTAGACGACATTCTAAATGAACTCGTTCTCCTTCCCTTAAAGGTTTAGGATCGTGAAGAGGGTGAGTGAAAATAGGTTTGGACTTAGAAAATTCTTCGATCAGGTAGTGAGGTTCTTGGTGATGAGGCCGTTCCAGATATTCAATCTGTCCTAAACCAACTTCGTGTATCGTTGTTGTATCAATAGAACTTTTACCTACAGGAAAAGAAATAACATTATTAAAACCTCAGCCAAAACAACAAACATCATGAAAGGAATGTACGTATAGTTAGGCCTACTAAAAGTGCAAAAAAGGAGCAGAATTGGAAGATTTATTAATTATAAAATAATGAACAATATGAAATACCATATGTGGTAGTAGTACTTAAGATAATAACAACAGTGTGAGATAGTTATTCGTTCTAAATATTCTATCTTTGTAATTACTAGATGGCTTTAATTATTCAAATAAAAGTATAAAGAATTAAACCAAATCTAAGTAAACCCAACCTAGCTGCGATAAACAACTTTAATATATATTTATATGCTAATCAAAACATGTGTTTCTTACCTAGAATCCGCTTTCAGGAAAAACAATTATCTACATATTCTGAAATATAATACATTATTTAACTAACCTGTAATTTCTTTGTAGCCGAAAACAGTTCATGCTAGATTGTATGTTCATAATAAGTTAGTAATACACCACACGGCATGGGGTAAGTAAAAATAATTATAATTTGTAATGTTGTAATTATGATAAGGCAAAACCACTGTTAAAATGTCAGTAACCTCTTCATTTCGTTGTTATACATATCAATCAACTAATTATCAACCGTGTAAATGCCATTCAGACTGTGCTCAGTATAGTGGTGTCACGCAGTTTTGTGTCAGCTGGCAATTTGCAGTGAACCATATAGTTTAAAAGTTCCAAACTGTGAACCGTGGATAGATGTCGAATGAAACATTTGTAAGTTTCATTACTGTGTAGAGGGCCGTAAAATGGCTGTTTCAAGTTAGCTACAAACGTCTGAAAGTTTTACTAGTATGATAAGATACCACTTGTTTATTAATGGTTGGACAATGCATGACACAAACAAGCGATTATTACCTGTCGGTTTTGAATTAATGAAAAGGTATGATACGTGCTATGACACTGAATCAAATGCTCGCAGCCACAACTGGAAAGCGTTTAAGTGCACAAATGATATACCACACACCCAATGAAATGTATTCATTCCGCTTGCAACAAGACGTAAGATAATTCGCTGAAATGTACAAGAAAGTTTCTAGTGAACAAATGACACGTGGTAAAATATGTGACTCCACACATTTAAGATAGTCGTGTTGCATCCAATCAAGTTACTCCACACACATTTAAGATAGTCGTGTTGCATCCAATCTAGTGACTCCACACATTTAAGATAGTCGTGTTGCATCCAATCAAGTTACTCCACACACACATTTAAGATAGTCGTGTTGCATCCAATCTAGTGACTCCACACATTTAAGATAGTCGTGTTGCATCCATCAAGTGACTCCACACATTTAAGATATTCGTGTTCACCCCATCAAGTGACTCCACACATTTAAGATAGTCGTGTTCATCCCATCAAGTGACTCCACACATTTAAGATAGTCGTGTTCATCCCATCAAGTGACTCCACACATTTAAAATAGTCGTGTTGCATCCAATCTAGTGACTCCACACATTTAAAATATTCGTGTTCATCCCATCAAGTGACTCCACACATTTAAGATAGTCGTGTTCTTCCCATCCAGTGACTCCACAAATTTAAAATAGTCGTGTTGCATCCCATCAAGTGACTCCACACATTTAAAATAGTCGTGTTGCAT